TTGGGGGGAAAACTAAACTCTTGTATCTTATAAATTCAGTTCACAGTAAGTTTCCTTTCCCACTATAACCTAAGTTATCTATTCATTCTTTTCCATAATAGCGTTTACTGCATGTAATGCATTTATCATTATTTTGTAGTATAATATTTTGGATTTTCTTCTCTTCTCCTAAACAGAGAACTCAGCTTATATCTTTATAGCTGCTGCTGGGATTTTTTTTTTTTTTTTTTTTTTTTTTTGGCGGGGAAGGTTCCTGGGGACTGAACCCAGAAGCACTTTACCACTGAGCTACATCCCCAATCTTTTTTATATTTGAAACAGGGTCTCACTAAATTGCTGAGGCTGGCCTCAAACTTACCACCCACCTGCCTCAGTCTCCTGAATCTCTGGGATTAAAGGTGGTGCCCAGATGGGATTGATGGATCTTCTAAATGAGTAAACATCTAAGTATTCTACGTTCTGGACCACGTTCCCCTACCACAAAAAGTTTATAGGGTCCTACTTCCTTAGAGCCCTGTTCTCCAATATGGCATGTGATTTCTTCTTACCCATTTCTGGTAACAAATGAGAATAAAACTTTATAACTAGAAAAGTAGAAAGCTTTATAAACTACTTAACTCAAAAATCAGCTAAAGGTGTTATCCATGCTTTTAGATTTCAACAGAACATAGAAGACATCAGGGTCTTCTGTAATGAGAGGACCATAAAGGAATCTTCCATTTGGAGGGAGCAATAGCCAAAGCTGAACTTCAGGAAATTGTTCTCAAGCAATTGCCTTTGCCAGGCTTGTGTTCTTTGTTGAACTACAGAAAAACCCACACCCATCATATCATCACTACACCCTTTCAAACAAACAAAACCTCACCAGCCTGTAGAACTTACTTCCTAAACCTGTTCAACACCCTCCCCATCCCCACGTGACACACCAGAAGGTACAGACTAAAAATAAATCAATCTKCTTCCATCACTATTAAGTTGGCACGAACTGTTTCTCATACTTAAGATTTTAAGTAATTCACAACCAGGTTATTGCTACAGTTTAGTGAAGTAAAGGGAGACTATACAAACTCCAAAGACCTTCCTCCAATTACATCTTTTAATCAATTGAGCTTTAATTTATAAAAATATAGACATGTGAAAGAAGGTAGTAGAAACAAAGACATTCTAAGAAATGTTTGATATCAACATAAAATGTTTCTTGGTTTTTCAAGACAGAATTTTTATTCTTTGGGTTTTACTTCCTTAGAATTGGCAAAACATCTGTACTTTTTTTGTAGTTGTAGATGGACAGAATGCTTTTATTTTATTTGTTTATTTCTTTATGTGGTGCTGAGGATCGAACCCAGTGCCTCTCACATGCTAGGCAAGTACTCTGCCACTAACCTACAGTCCCAGCCCAAAACAACTATATTTGATTCATAATCCAATGATCTCTGAAAATAGGAAAAATATAAAATTATTTTTATATTTTATAATTACATAAAATTATATAACCCCAGGACATATTTTTGCACATGTGTGTTTCAGACAGGGTTTTGCTCTATTGCCCAGGCTGGCACTGAACTCCTGGGCTCAACTAATTCCTGTCTTAGCCTCCCAAGGAGGGAGCATATGCAAATGGTATTTTCCCAAAAACATGATATTTATCTAGGGTTCAAAATAATAAAAGCTAACACTTATAGTATGGCACTCATTATATCAGACTACTCTAAATAATTTATTTTACTTACTGGCAAAAGAATCTTATAAAATAGGTACTATTATTATTCTCATTTTGCAGATAGGTAATTCTATTTATGTATGTATGTATGTATGTATTTATCTATCTGTACTGGGAATTGAACCTAGGGGCCTCATGCATGCTAGCTAAGAGCTTTATTCCTGATCTATGTTCCCAGCCCTTTTTGAGACAGGGTCTTGCTAAGTTTCCCAAATCGGCCTTGAACTTTTGATCCTCCTGCCTCAGCCTCCATAGTAGCTGGGATTATAGGCATGCCCCACCACTCTCTGCTCACAGATAATTCTTACCTAGAATTACTTTTCCAAACATTTAGTGGCTAAATTTCAAATACCAGCTAAAGTAGTCATGTGAATTCTAATCAATCTAAATTTGTCAAAAATATTTTAAATATAATCAATTCCAATGCAAAGCATTCATGTTGAATATAAAGTCAGTTTTTCACAATTATGATACCTTTTTTTTTTTTTTTTTTTTACTGGCAAAGGGAGTAGTAAAATGTCTTATACTTCCTAAATTTTTCTGATTAAAATAGTTCTCTAAATTCTTCCTCTCACAAGAGGCAGATGAGCAGGGTACACACCTGTAGTCCCAGGGGCTCCGGAGACTGGAACAGGCAGGAGGATCAAGAGTTCAAAGCCAGCCTCATCAATTTATTGAGGACCTAAGCAACTCAGTGAGACCCTGTCTCTAAATAAAGTAAATAAATAAATAAAAGGGGTGGAGATGTGGCTCAGTAGTTGAGTACCCTGGTACAAAAAAAAAAAAAAAAAAAGAGGCAGATGAAAACAGGACAAATTCCACCTCTTTACCCTCCAGATATCTGTTGTTTTTAATTCTTCTACACCTTTGCATCATGCTAAAATTTCTGTTTAAAAAAAAAAAAAACTCTGCTGAAGGCTGATGGACAGTAACTAGATAAACTGATGACTTACCTCCTAGAGTGGAGGAATGACTTTGTAACAGACTGCAGGAGATTGCTCCTGGAAGCCACCCAAAATGCCCTAAGTTAATTTATCCATATCTAATCCATTCAGGCATGCATCAAGGCCCAATTTCTGTTCTCCACAAGGCCTGTTCACAAAGACCATCTTTGAGTTCTGAAGGTGGGTGTCACATAATTTCAACTTCCTTATGTCACGATGCTAATCTTTTTTGGGCTTATATCTCAACCAGATTGTGGGTGTCTTTGTCACACTTTCCCGGAATATCTAGCTTAATAGTGAACACAGACACTGAAAAATTCATTAAGCAATTGTTTCACTAGGTTTACTGGCTTAATACAAACATTTGCACTGATTTTGGTTAAGAATCTCCCTCCTAAGGCTGGGCACAGTGGTGCATGCCTGTAATCCCATCGACTTGGGTGATGAATAAAGAGGATCACAAATTCAAAGCCAGCCTCAGCAACTTAGAGAGACCCTGTCTCAAAATAAGATATAAAAAGGGATGGGATGTTACTCGTGGGTTCAATCCCTGGTACTGAAAAAAAGAATCTCCCTCATGCTTGAGTCAGTCTTCAGCAACTGGAAAACAGTTCTTCCATGGTACTTAGATGTTTGTACCCAAGTCACATAATATAACCCAGAGTCCTTTAGCAATCCAGGCCCTTTTCATTTGATCAAATGTAAATAAATCAAAATGGGATTATTGCTCCCTTCATTCTGAGATAAAAAATAGCTTTTCACATCCTCACTATGGTTTACACTTCCTCAATTTATGACTCTTTATTTTAAGCACAAATGCTTTAATTTGGGTGTCATCCTAGACCTAAAGTAGTCATTATATTTACAAGTATGGCCAGAAGTCATGGCCACAAAGTGTAATAAAAGCTTGCTCAATCCAAAATGTCTATATTTCCACTCCTGGAGTCAGAGTAAGTCATAAGATGACTGACTGTAAAGTCAAATGGCCAAGAAAGTATTGTAAATTGTAAATAGTAACCATTTCTGTCATCCATTCAAAATCATGAAAAGGATTGCCTTGGTAGGTAATAAGGTCATCATGGTTAAAAAATCTTTATGGAGAGCTTTAATGGCCATATGTTAGGGGATGATGAAAGAAGCAAACCAATTTGATATGATGTGAGGCTAGATAACACCTCTCCCAACACAAAGATTCTAGAAAGTTTAACTTGTCAGAAAGCATGAGGCAGCTTTTAATTTATCCCAGGATAACACTGCCTGAGTAATTCTGTAGTTCCCCCAGTGCCTTTCAGTACTATCTGCCTATAGATCACAAAATTTACTTAACAGCCATGTCATCATCAAAGACAAGTATCATAAAAAGAACTTACATAACTTATAACTCAACAAGAGTTATAAAGGATTAGTAAGAGTTATAAAGGATTATAGTATTCAGCAATACAACTGTATAATACATTCCATTATCAAGGGCTATTCAAGTACACTCTGACGTTTCTGAGTTTCTGAATTCCTAAAACCCTGTTGCTCCTTTGTTCAGGTTAATGAGGAAGAGATTGGACTATTTAAAAACCCGTTCCCAGTACAAACTCACACAGAGAATTTTGGAGTGTATCCAATTTCAATAGCCACTGCATATTCAATCAATATATACATGAAATCAGGGCAGAAAACAACCTCAGTGTAAGTAAAATCACCCAGTAGTCAACCGTGCTTTTTCTCCAAAAGTTCAGATTGAAAGACGCCTCATGCTCTCAGACCCCTGATTTTTTAAAAGTCTATAATCACCCAAGTCACATCTTCCAAAGACATGCGGTGCTGCTTTCTGAGCTTATTTCTTCAATCTGTAGCGTGAATTTGTTTGTGATTTCCCCACAGATGTCAGCGGTTATAGGTCCTAGCCCAGAAACGTCACAGGAATGGATTACGTTTTCTACAGGATCCATTCAAAGTTCCTGAATTTGCTTCTCGGGCTTTACCTACTGTTCAAAATGCTTTTTTTTTTTATAGGGAAGGTTGATTCGAGGGACGATAAAGGAAGGGAATTCGGGAATGTTCGTGGTCAAGGAGGGAAGAAAGAGAGGTGTCCGCGCTTTAGGGGTGACTCCCGCTTTTGAGGGAATGGACAACCCCATCAGAGCCACAGCCCCACTCTGGGAAGCTACCGCTGGACAAACAGGTCCTCCAGTGGCTCGTTTCCCCGAAGTGCCAGTGCTAGAATTTGCCCAGGATCCCCCAAACTCATAGTACCCCAGTTCCAAACCTCAGTGACAACCGCCCTCCGTCTTGAGGCCAGCCGGAGGCGCCGGGCCGGCTTCCCACCCCCAATCTGAACTCACAGCCAGTCTCCTTCTTGATCTCCTCGAGCTCTTCGTCCCTCAGTAACGTGGAGGCCCGAGACCCCATCACTGTGCTGGGAGCTCCTCCGGGAGCGGCGGCGCCTGAAGCTAAGGCAGTGGAAGGGAGGGTGGAAAGGGCTAGGGGTCAAGAAGGGAGAGGGCAGTGTTTCTACTGCGGACCCGGGAGGCGACCCAGGGGTGGTGCGAGGGGAAGGGCGGCCCCGAAGAGCAGCCAATGAGGAGCGAGGCCGCGCCCTGCACCCGAGTCGACGTCGGCGCTGGGAGTTCCAGCCCCCGAATGAATCAGCCCAGCGCCAGCTCCTGCTCAGCTACAGATAGACCCCGCCCCCGGAACCGCGGCTGCCACCGGGCTTAAAAGGGCAATGCCACTGTGGCGCTAGCGGCCTCAATTAAAGGGGCAACTCCATCAACCCACCGTTTTCCAGCAAACCAACCTGAGACCTGCAGTGTAGCCAACCGGTTTTTCACAAACTCTTAACACCAGGAATCTCCCCGTACAAGTCGTTGGGATTGCAGAAAGAAGCAACAAAAATTTGTGTGGAGGAACCGTAGGGTGTGTCCCCTGGGAACTGCATGCTGGGAGTTGTAATTGGTCTTTGCCTGGCGGCCCTCTCTCCGCCCAGCCGCGTGAGGGCGCTGGGGAGCCGGCCTCAGGTGTCGAGTCAATTGGCTCCTCGCGAAACAGTACCTCGGTGTTCTGCCCCGCGGACGTCGGCTGTGCGGTTTGGGTGCCCGGCGTTGAGAGCTTTTCTCTAGTTTGCTTCAGGACTGTGCTTTGAAAACCGTCGCTCAGTGACTGAAGTACCCCGAAATTTCTTCTTTAACAGTGATCCCTCTTTTAGTTCTAGACTGAAGTTCAAGGAACTCACCATTTGGCTGAAATTAAGGTCCGGATTTCCCAAATTTCTTCGGTGAGGGGGGAGTCTACAGGTGGAGGAGAGTGAATTCCTAGCATAGGGCCCACCTTTAATTTGAAGTTCTTACTTTATCTTGAAAATGAGAAATTTTGCATTTTATTTTTTTATATTTTATTTTTTAGTTACAGTTGGACACAAAAACCTTTATTTTATTTTATTTTTTTTAGAATTTTAATATTTATTTTTTTAGTTTTCGGCGGACACAACATCTTTGTATGTGGCGCTGAGGATCAAACCCGGGCCACACGCATGCCAGGCGAGCCGGCTACCGCTTGAGCCACATCCCCAGCCCACAAAACCTTTATTTTATTTGAAAATTTTTATTTATCTATTTTTATGTGTTGCTGAGGATCTAACCCAGGGCCTAGCACATGCTAGGCAAGTGCTCTACCGCTGAGCCACAACCCCAGCCTCACATTTTATTCTTAGAGTATATTCTTGTTTGATAAGGTTGAATGCCACTTTTTAAATTAAGTATACATCCTCTCAAGAGAATGAGTAATTTTCCTGAGTAATTTGACCCCTCACTTCTCTGTTCAAAACCGGTTTGAGATATGGAAGAACCAAATTCTGATCACTCTTACCTAATAATTAGGGTACTACTTCAGCATACTTTCCCAAACCAACTTAGCTTAAACTTCACCTCGGCTTTGCAGCTTAGCCTGAGGACCCAGAAGTTCCTTGCAGGCTGAGGTTCCAGTTTCACCCTATTGTTTTCATGATTGACTTGCTCTTGTTTTCATGGGCAAGCAGTAACATTTTAGATATGCCAGTCAAAGAAGACAAGAGGAGCTGCTTTTTATCTTGGAAATATGGGTTTGTAGGAAAATTTTTGTCAGCCGCATGATTGCCTGTTTCTGTTTCATTCTGCCCACCTCTGGATCCTGACTTTTTTTCCTTCCTAATTTTGAACCTTAATATTTGCAGCTGTCTTCAATCAAACTTTACTTTGCTTGGTGTTAATACTTTAACATTTTTTTCTTCACCTTTTTGGGGAAAAGAGGTTACAGAGATTGAACCCAAGTCACTTTGCCATTAAACTACGTCCCCAGCCCTCTTTTTTTTTTTTTTGGATACAGTTTTGGAGAACTTGCTGAGGCTAGCCTGGAACTCTTGCCTCAGCTGGAATTACACCACATGGCACTCTTTAGCATTTAATTTTTTCCCAAGCATTTCACAAACTTTTTTCTTGGGTAGCTTTTAAACATAAATTTATTTTTACACCCAAAAATGTTGCCTCTGTAAAGCTTGTCAAGGCTTTCTCTTCAGTTTTAGGACCTCCTTTGTTTCTGTAAAGAGTCCTCTTTTGTTGTTGGTTAACTTGAGCAAGGAGTGATTTTTCTAAGGCTTGTTTTATGCTCTTTCTGGGTGCATAATGCTTGGTCATACTTTTGACCTCAAATATCTTCCAGTAAGGGCCTGGTTTAGTTTAGGTTCTATTATCTTCTAGTTTTGTGATTTTGGGTACATGTCTTAAAATATCTAAGCCTCTGATTTCTCATCTGTAAATTAAATTATGACTATAATATTTGTGAAAGCACTTAACCTTAAAATCTGAAAACGTAGGTTATTTATTTGACCAAAAATGCTATAAATCATGGGGCACCGTGGCACATGCCTGTAATCCCAGCGGCTTGGGAGGCTGAACCAGGAGGAGAGTTCAAAGCTAGCCTCAGCAATGGTGAGACACTGAACAACTCAGTGAGACCCTGTCTCTAAATAAAATATAAAATAGGGCAGGGGAGGTGGCTCAGTGGTTGAGTGCCCCTGAGTTTAATCCCTGGTATCCCCCCCCCAAAAAAAAGCTATAAATCTTCACTTTCTTCCTAGGCTGTAGGTATTTCATCACTGTTTTAGAGAGTACATTGCAAAATTCTCTGAACTTTCCCAGTGTGGCAAAGTCAAGCAGCTTTTATTATTTATTTACTTATTTGTTTTTGTTACTGGGATTATTATTTATTTACTTATTTATTTTTGGTATGGGGACACTTAACTACTGAGCTATAACCTGTTAGCATAAATGACACACATATGAAGAAGGCAGGAAACTGGAAGCAAATCTTGGATTAGCCAGTTTTTCTTTATTCAGGATTCAGTGGCAGAGTCAATTAGTGGAACCCTGATGTTGCTCATTTCGGGGGGGCAGAAAATGGCAGTGGGCTGAAGCAAGGGTCTGGGTTATAAAGGCTCTGTTTAGGGTGGGACAGGAGGGTAGTTTGGGGGCTTCATTATATTGGGGTGGGCTGATTAGAGTAAGCCAGGCATGTGAATAGGGAGTTATCTGGGGTTTATTGTATAGGGCTCAGCTGACCCATTAGGGTGGGGGGTCAGATGCCAATCAGGTGTGAATTCTTTTTGTATTCCTTCACTCTGACTGGGCTTTTAAATGACAAAAACTTCAATTTTACACAGAAAAGGCCTGTGGGGGAACAGCTGCAGATAAAGGGAAATGTCCTTGGACTTATTCTTCATATCCTACATTCCAGACTCTGAAAGGGACATAATGAATTGGGCCATCAATATCAAATCTAGCTGCTTCCTGGTGAAAATGGGCAAAATAGGGGATCTCCCCCTTTCAGAGTTCTGGAAGAGAACATGAAGACCCTGGTGGTTGAGGTATAAGTGGGCGGAATGGCCAGATTGTCTGAGGATGAGCATGGGAGGAGATGTGCCCTGGGAGGTGGCTTGAGTTGGATAGGTCACCTTCCTAAGAAACCATTTCTTGGAACCATATTTTCCTGATATTTTAATTGTTTGTATCCTGATTGACAGACTATGCAAAAACAAGAACAGAGTTTAACAGTATGGTTGTAGCTGGTAACCCAACTACATGTATAGGAAAGTATTTAAAAGGCTTAAGGGAAGAGATGCTTCAGCCAAATTGCCCCAAATCTCTTCGTTGTTAAAAGCAGGTGCCTTTGCATCAACCATGGCCATAACCTAAGGTTTTAATTCCAACATATCCTATGTGTAATTCCAACACGTCCCTAATGGAGATCAAGCCCCATTAGGTGATTATGTTTATTTTGCCATTGAATCTCAGTATCACTCTATGGAACTCTAGTAAAACAAAATTGGGTAACATTATAATGACATTGAGGTCTTTGAGCCCATCATAAATCTTGTACTTGTTCTTCTAGCCATATGATAGACTCTTTTAGTTTTTGGAAAAAATTCCTGATCAACTTTTTTTTTTTAAAGAGAGAATTTTTTAATATTTATTTTTCAGTTTTTCGGCGGACACAACATCTTTGTTTGTATGTGGTGCTGAGGATCGAACCTGGGCTGCACGCGTGCCAGGTGAGCGCGCTACCGCTTGAGCCACATCCCCAGTCCATCAATATGTACTTGAATTTGTAAGATCTCAGTAAATTTCTTCTGAAATTGCTGAAAGGGGATGCAGAAGCAATTATCTCAGACAAGATAACAATGCAAGCTATTAACCATTAGATGAAACATTTAGCACTTTTATAAGGAGCCAGGTGGCTACTGGCCTTTTGAGAATCATAACAGTTTGTCCTGTATTTTGCCATACAGTTTTTTTTTTTTTTTAATTTTTAATATTTATTTTTTAGTTCTCGGCAGACACAACATCTTTGTTGGTATGTGGTGCTGAGGATCGAACCCGGGCCGCACGCATGCCAGGCGGGCGCGCTACCACTCGAGCCACATCCCCAGCCCTGCCATACAGTTTTATTGACACATTTTTGTAGCATATAGTTCTCACATTTAACTATATATATATTATGAGGCATTATATTGTACTTGATTAGGTTTAGACAATAAAATATGGGTATTTAATACATATGCTATGAGATAGAATTCCTTATGAAAAGAAATATTAAGATGGGTAACATTTTTAAACTTATTATATTGGAAATCACATTTCATATCCAAAAAGTCTTCTCATATCTCATTTCCATATTCCAGATGGTCCTGAAGACATTTAACCTTGTCTTTTTCCACTCCCAAGTGGTTTACATAGAAATACCACTCTTCCCTGATTGACTTTGTTTTTTTGTTTGTTTGTTTGTTTGTTTTTATTGGTTATTCAAAACATTACAAAGATTGCAGAATCACATCGGTTACACATCCACATTTTTACATAATGCCATAATAGTAACTGTTGTATTCTGCTACCTTTCCTATCCTCTACTATCCCCCCTCCCCTCCCCTTCCATCTTCTCTCTCTACCCCATCTACTGTAATTCATTTCTCTCCTTATTTTTTTTTCCCATTCCCCCTGATTGACTTTGGAGGAAGACAGATGCTAG